AACAGACTTGTTAGAGTGAGTTAGAGTACGAGCTATGTGGTAGGCATGCGATAGCATGCGACATGAGGAAATGCGTTTGGCTTCAAGGCTAACGCGCTGTAGGACGCTCAGAGGGCGTAAGCGTACAGGCGTAAGTTTCTGAAAATCTATATTATCGACCTTGATTAACTTCGACCGTCACTCCAGCATCCCCTTAATGATTAATATATATATCTCGGTCCACGGGGGGTAAAGCGATACCTAACCTAATCAATCAATAGCCACAGAAAACAGACATGTGTGATGTGACCATGCACATTGCCAGCGCCACATTTGCCTCTTGCGCCCAAAATTCCAAAAGGACATTACCCCCACCACTTCGTAGCGACGACGTGGACGACGATAATGATGACGTTTCTTAATACAAAAAGTTTTACATTCGTATTTTGCGTCGCAATATCTCCGCTCGTAAAGCACGTAGAGAAAAAATAAAAACACTTTTATTATATATCCCGACCGGTTGCAGTCGATTGAGCACACTTAGGGTGGAGTCCCATGAAGCGTATTTGCCGCGTATCGCGTAACCGCGTAACCAATCAATAATCAGTAAAACGCGAAATCATAACAGCGGATCGCTTCTGATTGGTTACGCGGTTACGCGATACGCGGTAAATACACCTCATGGGACTCCAGCCTTAGAACTTGATCGGTTCAGCCCTTATCGAGCTCCGATAATCTCGATTGGCTGCAACTCGCCGGCTCGCGTAAAGTAGCCACGGTAGTGGCGCTGCGCGTAGCTTAGCGCCGAGACACTACCAGTGTCTCCAGATTCTAAACGTTTACACTGGTTGATAGTTTATAATTGTGTAGTGGAAACTACTTATTACAGTACTCAATGCAGTAGTGTCGAATGCTTATAACTATTGCCGTTGAACAGTTATTATTAGCCTTCTGTTAGTTACTATTAACATTCTAATAACTTTTTTCCGTACGAGCACCTAATATTCGAATAAATGAATAAAGAATTAACGAAAATTCCTATTCCATAATACTTTATTTTTATTCATCAAGAAATAAATAAAGTAACATTTGTGTACAAATTTTTAATGCACATCCTTAAAATATTTTTTAAGTTAAACGAATTAAAGTAGATATATATGAGATAATATTTTATTGCATGTATAAAATAACATAACTTATTCCTTATATACGTAAGATAATGAAGCTTAATATTTTTTATATATTTGCAAAAATGATGAAACTTTACCCGGAACACGAATGATCGTGTGTAATGAAAGACCGGAAAATCAACGAATTAAAAGTTTAAGCTTTTAGAGGAATAAATTTCTCTTGTTGTTTAGAATGATTAAAATTTTTTATTAAAAATTTCTGAGAACGTAATTAAATTTTCTTTTTCAACATACGTTTAACAATTCGGAAAATAAAGAGAGATCAGATAGACTTATACGTACAATACAAAGGTTAATGCTGTACAATTATCGCGTGCGCTTTTCTTAATGCCAACACATATACGTTTTAAGCTGTGTATTTGCTACTAACACACCCAATAGCTATACTTATGAAAGATGCATTCTGGAAGATAAGCACTTCATGGAGAGAGTAGGAAGTAGTTGCTGCGCGAATGCAAGGAAGAAGACCAAGAGAAGCTTCTAGGAAGGCAAAGTCAGACGAAAATCGTAACTGTTCGTTTTGTTAACTCGACGTTAAAATGGTTCTCAGTTATTAATATCTGTGAAATGGCGCTAATCTCGCTTATAAGACAGTCACGAGTATGTTCACGTAGGCGACGTAAATACTTTCCTAGAATATACGGTAATTTTAATCCTAAGGATAGTTATTAACACCTTTAGGTTTAATAATAGTATACAATGCGTTTCAGAAGAATCAAAATGTCATTGCTGTCAAATTTTAATTGTTGAAAAACTTTTTAATACATCTTTGTCTATTTTAACGAAGTTTTAAAAATAAAATTTATTATATTAACCATGATATTGAATATTGATTATTTAAATGCGACGTTTTTAGAAATTCATTAATATATAATTTGTGAAGGGCATAGCGGAATAAGTATGGTAGAAATGCCCTAACGGCTTTTTGAGTTGATCTTTTTTTCTAAGATAATTTATATAAAAAGATCTAATTTTAGACTTCTATATGGAGACTTGATCAAGTTAAAACGAAAAAACGGTTTTTTTACAATTTACATAGCATTTTTTGGGCTACAAGAAATTATTGTAGGCCATAATGAGCCCGAAAGTTTTGTTCCTAAGTCCAGTAGTAGTACATTAATGAGTACGCAGTCATCAACACAACAAAGTACAAATTCTTATGACATTATGTTTCTTTGATAATATACTTTTGACAACGTCACAATCACAGAATATTTAAAATCGAACTTGTTTTTGTAAAACAATAACATAAAGGAAAATTTCAATAAATTTACATCAATAATAGATATATAGCTGAGAATAAAACTAAAGGGAATCACACAAAATAAACATCCGTTTTAAAACATTATGTAACTTAATTCGTACTTATTTATTAAATAATTCATGGCTCTCTCTGTGACAAAATGTTTGTGAGTCAAATCTGTTCTAGTATGATGTAATAATAAAATTTACATTTATTTTAAATTATACGTTTAGATTTGCATTCTTTTATTACTCGTCTAGGATCTTTTCTCCTTTATATTATTGCTTAGTAAAAATATTTACCATGACTAATATGACACTTACTTTTTTAATGTTACAGCATCTTGGAAGGATAATAATGTTACAAGACGATTAATTTCTGCGTGGAAAGAACATGAGAATAATTTCAAAAATGGAAAATACAAATCTTTAGAAATATGGAAAAAAATTGTCATTGTTGTTCAAAATAATAATAATCAGTGGGTGTATACTGATACAATGCGAAAATAAATTTAAAGAACTGCGTAAAAAGTATGTTAAGGTAAAAGACCACCACAACAAACAATCAGGCAAAAGTCCAATGACATGTAAATTCTTTAATGAATTTGAGGAAGTACTGGGAGATAAACCTTGTATCCAACCTGTGGCCCTGGCTTCCAATTTGAGAAGACGATCAATAAGTTCTCAAGATAGTGACACAGAAAATCGATCTAATAAAGATAAATGTAATAAAGAGAGAGAGATGAATCTGATGGAAGAAAAAAAGTAAAAAAGAGGTTCAGAGGGAATTGGGTGAGTGGTCTGCTTCTTTACGTGAAGATGCTAGACAGAGGGAGCAAGCAAAAGAACAGCGCCACAAGGAGCTGATAGCAGCATCTGATCGAGCAATTACTGCATACAAGGAAATGATGGGAAAACTTATTGACAAGTTATAAAGAATATATTGAAGATGTTTAATCTAGATTATTATTCTACTTTTTTGTAATTATGTCATAGTGTAAGCATAAAATATTTTATTACAAGTGTTCTAAAAAAAGTTTATGATATAGTAGAAGAGAGATTAGAATAATTTTAATTTTATATTAAACTTATGTCTACCTGAAAGATTTTGCATATTAATAAGTCTACTCTTTTCAGTTAACTTCTTGCATCATTCATCTCTTCTCTTTGATTTTTGTTGTAAAACATTTTATTTGGCTTTTATCGTATAATAAAACATTTTATTTTTATTAAACATGTTCAGAAATAATGTTCTTCATTTTTGTTTTTTTTAACAAATACAAAGTTTAATATTTCAGAAGATTATTAAAGAGTTTGAAGAAAAGGATATGTTTTATATGAGATTCCTAATATTGTATCGTTATTAAACTAGTGACATTAATTTATAAGTTACATCATATTATCTATTAGCACAAAATAAGTTTGGAATATTTGATGCCATATTGTGTTATAAGTATTATTATAAGTATCTCCATTATTATTATCTCCTGTAATTATCTTTTTCGTTATTGTCAAACATGTAATAATTTGTGAGAATAAAAGTGGGATTTATAAGTGTAGATTTAATCACTAAATATGGCAGCAATAAATATTCTCTTTATTCAAATAATAATTATGTGAAATGACGTAATAAATATATTTTGACCAAATAAATTTATTTATATTAATTATATGTAATTTAAAATTCAGTTGTTGAAAATCCACACAAAATAAAGAAGACTATATATTAACATGTTTTACCTTATATTATTTCCTTATTATATTATACAGTAAAATATGATTTCTTGGTACCATTAGATTGAACGTACATCCTGTAAATCAAGCTAATAGTGCTGCTAAATAATTACGTTTTGCTGAACCTTGTGCATCATTGTTAATAATATCTTCCCTTAGCTCAATTGTCTCTTGATCCCGATTTTGTTCATTTCCTTCATTATGTCTTCTCTCTTCAATAAAATCATCAACTCTGCCATTACATCCTTGAAGACGCAGATTATGTAATATACAACAGGCCAATATTACATAAGGATAAATTACAAATTAACAAATTATAAAAAACTAATAAGTTTTTGCAGACTCTTTTAATTAAAACAATTAATAAAACCATAAAATATGTATTACAGGCAATAGGAGTCGACGCTGGTTATCAATTAACGCAATTTTTCTTAATACTAAATATAAACCTTAACTTCGAATGTTTCTACTCATGGTTTGAGTCTTCATCAGCAATCTTTCACCCTAGCGCAACGATTGGAGTATTGTATGACAAAATGATATCTCCAACGTTCTTCCTCTCAAAAATTGAACCGTTTACTGTTATGAGGTAAGTCACATACTCACAAAGTTAGAAAGCTGAGTGGCAATAAGAACTCAAGCTCACACAGTCATAAGGAATCAGTTCTGCCATACTCATATGTAAATATTTAAGTCGGAATCTTCCCTTTAATAGAGCAAATGCTCTCTATATTACTTGTCTCATTTTTGATAATTCTTTGTTGATGTTCATTTGTACCTACATAAGAAATATCAAGAAATAAAATGTACAACCAATTTTTTGTAATTACAATTTTTTGTTACATAGCACATGCTAGCTATTAAATTACTACAAACTTTGCATGCTGCGTTCTGCAATTTTAGTAAACTACTAGCTTTCATGTAATCTAGCACGAAAAAATCTCATTGTATGTTATAAGCTTTACAATTCAATCGATGGTATGATAGAAAAAATAAAAAAGCAATAAATTTAACTAACTTCTGTCAAATTTCCTTTGTTTATATAGGGTGAAATGCACCAAGATAACACTGGATATGCTTATCACAATAATATATTCGTTTCTTAGTGTGCATGTCCACTAAAGAGGCCTGACTCGAAGCTTTGTGGTCGGCCGCAGCGTTTCGTCCTGGTCCCACACAGTGGCGTAACTAAGCCTATGTGCGCCCCCCCGCAAATTTATTTAGGCGCCCCCTTTTCTTCCGCCTTAATTTTTTGCATTTGAACCTTGAAAAGGTTCCACGTGTATTATGCAGCGTCGCGTCACGACACGATTTTTCACTTACCGCGCGGCAAATGTTTCGATACGGTAACGCATCAAAATAAATATCTACCCTGGGCAGACTGCCCATCATATACATGCATGAATTTTCATGTAGGTAACTAGTTCAAACAAAATCAATCACAGATTCTTACAAATTAAAATTATTTGTTAATACTATGATACCTAGATGCGATCATACTCTTCATTTTATATAGTTTTTGTAAACGACAAGAAAACCACGAAGATTTTGCTCACAACTTGATTTGTTTAAAAACTATTTTTATTTAAAAAAAAAATTGAAAAAAAAACATTTTTCCTGTAAGTGATCAAGTATATTCTTTACAATGGCGCTGACTATGTTCATTTACTAAATTCGTGATTGTATAGTTTTCAGGGCGTTAAATGAAATTTTAGCACGAAGGTCACCCCATAAAATAAAGGTAAAATTTCAACGCCTGTGATAAAAACAAAATTTTTTTATTTAACCGAGGGTAACAATGGCCATTTCCGAAATGGCATTTCGCCACTCGGCTTACGGGGCGTCAAATCGTCAATTTGACGATGATACTTTGAGATTGAAACCACTATTTTACTTGACCTTTTTTAATGACTCTTTATACATATTTTACTTTTTTACTAGCGCCCGGCGCCCCCGCCTTTGGTGCGCCCCCCCGCACCGCAGGGTCTGCGGGGTCGTTAGTCACGCCACTGGTTCCACACTACTAGACTCATCAGTAAGGCGATATAGTGTGGGACTTGCATGACAAAATGATATCTCCAACCTTAGACGCCTGGAATGAATCCAGAATGATGTTTCTATTTAAAGGGAATTCGCGCGGCTGCGGTGCTCACGCAAACCGAGTGAGTCCCGTGGACCTCTAGTGGCGAGTCGCCACACTAGAAAGAACTTCCCACAATTCTCTTGTACAGATATCCATAAATCTAAATTTCTGAATAACCTTGAATCATTTACAGAGCCTGAGAATCCCACAAAGCAATCTGTAAATACCAGATCTGCATTTCAAACAGCTTGCAAAGAAATAGCGTATTCACATTTCTTGGTTCTATATGATTCAGAGTGAAGCTACATAAAAATATGAAAATAAGTTGAGATATGTATTAAAATCAAAAGAAAGATGATTAAGATATTAAAGAAATATAATAATATTACATGTGGAGCAAGAATGGGTATGTGTGAACCATCAATAGCTCCCATAACATCTGGAAGGATACCAATTTCAATGAACCTTCTTTTTACAGTAATTAGTTCATCTCCTTATGGCCATACAATAATTTCATCTGCTATATCATTTAGAGCAGTGCTCGGAATTAGTTGTTCATTTCGGGCAGATTCCTGAGGCGACCTCCCACTACCATTCGAAACTCGGCGGCCGAGCCGCCGATCGCTCACGTGACGCTGTGCCCCAGGAGCGTCGCGATACGAAAAGTATGCTGGGAGCATATCTCTCCGGCAAATATCATTAAAATATTTTTTTCCTACGTGATTTTTATTTTAATAAATAATTAAAATAAATCTTTTATTATTAACATAATTTATTATTAACATATTATATTCTGCAATAATATATAATTAAAAATTACAATAAGATAATTATAATATGGACAATGGCTTTCCATGTTATCTTGAAAGTACTATTAATGATACGTTTTTCAAATAGTTTCTTCAGTAGATTTATTTCATTAAGAAATGAAAAAGGATGATTAAATATATGTGACTCGATAAAGTAAAATTTTACAT